CTCCTGATGAGTCGGTGAAACTCCGACGAAACAGTTTGTCACAGCCCCTCGTTTGTTGTCCTCTTCTCCCTCTCTGCCTACGGTTTACCGGGCAGTTCTATTTGACGATATATATATACACATATAATATATATCGTCACATACATATAATATATATATATGACACACGGGGGTGGGGGCAGCCGCCGCTCAACCTACATCCACGTGGGCGGCCTTGTACGCAAGAGGTTCTGAACAGGGGGAGTTGTAAGGATGAAGATTAAAAACGAATTTAAGATTTTTTTGTTTTTTTGGTTTTTTCGCTTAGGCGCTCTGATATCATGTGACAATATATAAGAATCATGTTAGTCATCATGCGTCCATGCGATCCCTCTACACGTCCGCTACATTGTGCGATATAAGGCCTCGCTGGACTACGCAACATCGGACAAGTATCTGGACAGCATTGCGTACAGAGATACAGTCGGACTGATCCCACGCGTTGTGAATGTATTTGCAGCATAACAGCTCCAGATACACTTAGAAAGTAACGGTTGTGCGGTGCAGCGAGGTTCATATTCAGAATCTCGTTGGCTCGACCATGCACAAATTCTATCCACGTCGCACATTGCGTGCGACGGAATCTCTGCCACACCCGATCCCGATCTTGCGACTTCATCCAGGCCGCGACGTAATACGCAATGGCTTCCTCGACAAGTGGGGTCGTCGCTCCATTACTCACCAAATGACATTGTGCGAATTCAGAATGAATCTTCCGCTATAACAAAGAAAGATACACGGCCATAGTTGTTGTCTTTTGTGCATGTGGTAAGTAGTGGAGCGAGGCCCTTTACCTCCACAAACTTGGGTTTCTAGAAAAAGACAGCGACCAAAAAAAAAAAAAAAAAGAACACAAACCACGGAATTATGAGGAAGGTCCTTCGGGACATCCGTGGAACGATACACAGAAGATTATCATGCCCCTTGCGCAAGTGTGACACGTATAAATTCTATTAAAACAAAACAAAACAAAAAATGGGGGCGAAAAAAGCACCCACTCCGGTAGTCCCTATTGGCACGAGAAATTTCAGACGTGCACGGGTTTTATCCATTTGCTAAAAAAAGCGCCGGCAGTGCGTTCGATGGAAACCAATTAAAGTGATTATTAATTACTGTATTACCAAAAAAATGTGATTATTAAAACTAGAAAACAGACCACAAAAAAAGACCATAACCAATGTTACTGGCGCGTTCTGGTATCACTTTTTTTTTTCCCCTGTTGTGTTCTCGTATCTTTTCGTTGACTTTCTTTTTTTTCCTGTCGTGTTCTAATTTCATTTAACTAAAAATAAAAAATAAAAAATAAAAAAAAAATAATTTCATTTAATTGATTTATCTATTTGTATTTTTTCTAAATAATAAATAGGGTACATTCGATGAAAGTCCGCAGATGTTGGCTTTAGCATTGGCAGCTATGGCTGTGCTCCATATGATTTCAATAAAAGCTCGACTCGTGATTAAAAACCARAAAAAAAAAAAAAAAAAAAACGCAGGCACGATTTCAAAGACACGAAGCACTTAGGCAATTATTCATCTGCAACATCCAAGTTCTTTTTTTTCTATTTTTTCTTTTTCTTTTTCTTTTTTTTACCAAATCACGGACAACATCCAAGTTCCAAACAAACACACACACCTCAAGAAAAAACTAAAAACTAAAATAAAAAAATAAAATCGAATGTGAATTTTACTGATTACTCACACTTTCGACTTTTTTTCCTTTTTTTTCTTTTTTAACCAACCATATTACTGTAATTCATTATGAACGAAAACACTACGACTTAAAAAAAAAAAAAAAAAAAAAAAAAAAAAAAAAAAAAAAAA